GTCCCCGGGGGCGCCGCGCGTCCCGAGCCCCCTCCCACCCGTTTCCATCGGGTGCACGGAGCCAACATCCGCCTGGACCCCTCGGGGACGCGGGCCACGCGCGTGGACAGCTTCGCCCACGGCGTGTGCTTCAGCCGCGAGCCGCTGGCCCCCGGCCAGGTGTTCCTGGTGGAGATCGAGGAGAAAGAGCCGGGCTGGTGCGGCCACCTGCGCCTCGGGCTGACGGCGCTGGACCCCGCCGGGCTGGCCACCGTGCCCGAGTTTTCCCTGCCGGACCTGGTCAGCCTGGGCCACACCTGGGTCTTCGCCATCACGCGCCACCATAACCGGGTGCCCCGGGAGGGCCAGCCCGCGGCCGAGGTGCTGGCCCCCGGCCGCCCCGCCGCCCTCCTGCTGGAGCCCTATCTGTGCGTGGAGCAGTTCCGACTCCCGCGGGACCGCCTGGTGGGCCGCAGCCGGCCGGGCCGCTACAGCCACCTGCTGGACCAGCTCTACGAGCTGAACGTGCTGCCTCCCACCGCGCGCCGCAGCCGCCTGGGCGTCCTCTTTTGCCCCCACCGGGATGGGACGGCCGACATGCACATCCTCGTCAATGGCGAGGACATGGGCCCCAGCGCCCGGGGGCTGCCAGCTTCCCAGCCCCTCTACGCCGTGGTGGACGTGTTTGCCTCCACCAAGAGTGTGCGCCTGGTCCAGCTTGAGTATGGATGTAGGTACCCACGCCCTGATCCACAGTGGGGACAGGGGGTCTGCTAGGGCTCCCTGGCCTTGCGCTTGGCCCAGCTGTACTTGAGATGGGGAGATAGCTGAGGTCTGAGGATGACTGTTCGAAAGCCAGCCTGGCAGAAAAGTCCCTGAAGCTCTCACCCCCCAAGTAAACTACTCAGAAAAACGGCTGTTGGTGGTACTGTGGCTCAAGTGGTAGAGGGCTGGCCTTGAGCAAAAAAAGAACTCGGGAACATCACCCAGGCCGAGTTCAAGCCCCACAATGACAAAAACAAAACAAAATTTCTCTGCAGGCCCCTTTTAGTCTAAGCAACTTCCGGTATTTGAGTACCATGGGGATTCTAAACTAATTTTAGCTCTTGGGTTTCTTGAGGAGTTTCTGTGTTCCTTTATTAGAAAAATGATACTAGCGCTGAAGATAGGTCATAGGTGCTCAGCGATAGAGCACCTGCTCAGCAATACCAAGGTCCAAATTCAGTCCCTTTAAAGAAAAATGAATACATAATGAATTTAGCCCTCAGAGTTTATTTATTTTTGGCCAGTCCTGGGGTTTGAACTCAGGGACTGGGCACTGTACCTGAGCTTCTTTTGCTCAAGGCTAGCACACTACCACTTAGCCACAGCGCCACTTCTGGCTTTTTCTGTTCATGTGGTAGCGAGGAATCGAATGCTTCATGCATGCTAGGCAAGCACTCTACCACTAAGCCACATGCCCAGCCTGGCCTATCAGTTTAGAGGCATCACAGATTAAGAACTAAAGTCTGGTTTATCACAGCCATTAAACCTCTGTGCACACGCGTGCGTGCATGTCTACATGTGTGTGCACACTGATTCTGGGGCTTGAATTCAGGGCCTGGGTGCCTCCTGAGTAGTTAGGATTACAGGTGTGAGCTACTGGTGCCAGACTCCATTAAACTTCGATCACATTTCATGAACTCAGTGAACTAAAACCTGCTCTACACTAAGGCTGTGGTTACATAGGCAAATCAGACACTAGCCTGAAGCTGCTAAGTGAAGGAGGGAGAGAATTATAGCAGAAACACAGCTACAGCCTGGTTAAAAAAAAAATCTCAAGAAAAGGTGTTAGTTAGCCGGGCGCTGGTGGCTCACGCCTGTAATCCTAGCTACTCAGGAGGCTGAGATCTGAGGATCTCGGTTCAAAGCCAGCCTGGGCAGGAGAGACCGTGAGACTCCTATCTCCAGTAAACCACCAGAAAACCGGAAGTGGCACTGTAGCTCAAGTGGTAGAGCACTCGCCTTGAGCTGAAGAGCTGAGGGGCAGTGCCCAGGCCCAGAGTTCAAGCCCCATGACCGACAAAAAAAAAAAAAAAAAAAGAAAGAAAAGGTGTTAGTTTCAACCACAGGCCCAGCCTGCACAAAGTAGGATGAACCTGAGCAAAATAATTTTCCACGCAGCAATCCTAGCTATTCCGGAGGCTGAGATCTGAGGATCACAGTGCGAAGCTAGCTGGGGCAAGTATGTCTGTGAGACTCTTGTCTCCAATGAGCCACCAGAAAAACTGGAAGTGGCGTTGTAGCTATCCTTGAGCTGAAGAGCTGAGGGTCAGCGCCCAGGCCCAGAGTTCAAACCCCACGACTGACCAAAAAAAAAAAAAAGAATTATTTCCACATTCATGGCACAGTAGTAGAGACCCAAACCTAGATTTTTCTCAGTTCCAGTCAGCCCCTTCCAGTCCAGTTTGCATTTGACCTCCTTCTCTCCACAGTGCCATCTCTGCAGACTCTGTGCCGCCTAGTTATCCAGAGGAACGTAGTACACCGGCTGGCCATCGATGGGCTCCACCTCCCCGAAGGACTTAAAGACTTCTGCAAATATAAATGAAAGTCTGCAGCCACCAGAGCAGGGTCTGGCCCCAGAGCTGTGGCTGATCTGAAGTGGACAGACTGACTATACTGCTGCCTGAAATAAACACAGCCCATGCTGACATTCTGCACTGGAGGGTCTCCTTGTCCCTGCGGCCTGTGTGAGAGGTCTTTCTTGAATACCAAGAGTCAGCAAGTCAGAGCAAGAGAAAGCATTAGACACCATCTAGATCAGGCCTCTCAGCCTGGCTACTCATTAAAGTTTTCTCAGAGATATCAGACTTAGATATAGAGTCTGATATCCCAGATTTTCTTTTTTTTTTTT